TGGGGATAGTATAAGAGTTGATAAAGTGGGGATAAATGATGATGAAAGGAGATGTGATGGGTGATGAACACACATTGCAATATACAGATGATATATTATAGAATTGAATACATGAAACTGAAACTGGATAACCAATGGGTTATGGCTGCTTGTCACTACTTGAGCCAATTTAGCAGAGACAGGGTTGAGCTGACAGCATGAAAATCCTGCTCTGCAAACCCCCTTAAACCAGCTGCTTATATAGGGTAGGATAAAGATTACATGGGGAAGCCCTAACTGGTTTGGCTTAGTGGATAGAGCCTTGGCCTGCAGACTGAAGGGTCCCAGGTTCGATTCCAGTCAAAGGCATGTACCTTGGTTGCAGGCACATCCCCAGTAGGGGGTGTGCAGGAGGCAGCTGCTTGATGTTTCTCTCTTATGTTTCTAACTCTCTCTCTCCCTTCCTCTCTGTAAGAAATCAATAAAATATATATATTTTAAAAAAAACAAAAAAACATTACATGGGGAAATAGGCTATGCATGCTGGGATGGGACCCCATTGTTTGGGCAACAAGGTTGTTAATCTTTCCATGATAATAGGTATTTCTTAAATGAGAATGGACCTTATTTCAAGGTTGATTCCCAGGGGGCTTACAAGTCCCAACCAGGTTAGAATGTACCTTCTTTAACCAGAACAAGGCAATCATGGTTAAAAGAGCATGATTAATATTTCCCAAAACTATAGCTAGTTCTCAATATTTTATTTTTGCCCCTAACAAAACCTATATAATTTTGCTGAAACCGGTTTGGTTCAGTGGTAGAGCGTCGGTCTGCGGACTGAAAGATCCCAGATTCAAGAGGCAGCTGGTCGATGTTTCTCTCTCATTGATGTTTCTAGCTCTCTAGCTCTCTCCCTTTCTCTCTGTAAAATATCAATAAAATATATATTTTTAAAAAACTATGTAATTTCATTAACCCAATGTTGCTTCAATAAATTCAATACAAATTAAAAAAAAAAAAAAAGAAAGTGGTGGTAAGAGAACTGATAGAAGAATTTGTGTTATCTTTCTAGATCCAATTAGGACAGAGAAACCATTTAGCAATTTGAACAGGGAATGTGTAATATAAATAGTTATAATAAATTATAACAGGAAATTGGAATAACAAGGGAATGGTTAGTAAGAAATAAAAATAACTCTAAACATATACGTGTTTGGAACAGCATATACAGTATAAGTAGCCACTACCCTTAGAGCTGGCATTGAACCCAGGGAAGAGGCCCTCCAGGCCTTGTTGTGAAGAGCATGGCTGTAGCTCAATGAATGGTGGAGAAGTCATTCAGGTGCCTTGCTGGGGGAGCTCCTTCCTCTGGGACATTCTAGACATCTACTCTCTTGGGAGTTGGTTAAGCTGTTCCTGGGAGGCTTCTGACTGCAGGCACTCTGCTACAAAACTGGCTGGAGTAGGGGGAATTCTGGAGGAACTAGTCACTGGGTACTGTTTGCAACCATACACTGCAGGCCTACATTTTGCAGGAACTAGCTGAGTGAGCACACCAGAACCAGGAAGAAAACCCTTCCTCCTGCATTGTCTCTTTAGTATCCTTTCCTGACAAAGCTTAACATTGTGCCAACTAGCAAAGGAAAAATAAGGGGCACAGATTCCTTTTCATAGAACAAGCAATTAAGGGTAAATTTGGTGCTGAAAAGCAGTCCTATATAATAAAGAGGTAATATGCAAATTAACCCTCACATCTTCACAAGATGGCTGCCTATGACCAGGCCTACAGGATTAGTGAGGAATAACCAAACAACTGAACAAGCTGGCAGTGTGGAGCGACAAGGCTGGCAGGGGGGGTTAGTGAGGGATGAACAGATGACTGAACGGCAGGCCACATGGGGTGACCAGGTTGGCAGGGAGGGCAGTTGAGGGTGACCAAGCCAGCGGGGGGAACGGGGGGGGGGGGGCGGCAATTGGGGATGACTAGGCTGTCAGGGGCGGGGGGGCAGTTAGGGCAACCAGGTGAGCAGAAGAGAACAGTTGGTGGCGGCCAGGCCGGTAGTGGGGGCAGTGAGGGGTGATCAGGCTGGCAGGGGGGGCAGTGAAGGGTGATCAGGCCAGCAGCATGGGGCAGATAGAGGCAACCAGGCAGGCAGGCAGCTGAGTGATTAGGAGCTAGCAGTCCAGGATTGTGAGAGGGTGCAGGCTGGGCTGAGAGGACCCGCCCCACCATGCACAAATTTCATGCACCAGGCATCTAATAAATTGATAACTGGCATTGTTGGTAAGACATGGAGTAATTAAGGAGTCAAACTAACTCCTATGTGTTTATAAGCTACCTGCCTCCTATGAGTAAAATAAAGGATAATGTGCTTAATGGAAAGAAATAATTGATATTTATTATATGACAGTTCTCAAAGAGAAAAATAAGTAAAATATGAGTGTATATGTGTGTGTATGTCTTTATCCTCCTGCCATAGTATAAGAGTGTCAACACAGCTTTCATGGGGAAAATCTCTTCTTTTTTCTGAGATTATAATCATTTTATTATCTATGTTTTTAAGTGGTTTTAATTTTTTAAAAATTTTTTTGTGTGAAATAGTAGTCATAGTGAAAGATAGTTTTTGTTTTTGTGGCTGTTTTGTCTTAATATTTTTCCTACTTTGCAAAGAAAACCATCCTATATTAGTATTCTTTCCATTTAAAAAAAATATACTGGTCTATGAAATTCAAATCTGGAAACCATTGCAGTCAACTAAGAATTTATTAATATAAATAGTGACAGGTCACTATTATTCTTTTGTGAAATGTATAAAAAGTTTTGTATTTAGAAACTGAAGAAAATTTGTCACTTTATATTCAACAATAATGGCATATAAACTATGAACAGAACTTAAATAGTAGGTAAGGCCATTCACTTTACATTCATTGTCTCCATGTAAACTAACCAGTTACAGATATTATTATCACTTCTTCAGATATCAAAAATCAGATGGAGTTAAATAATTCTGCAAGGCCTTATAGCTGGAAGAAAGCAGAGCCAATATTTAAATAGGAATCTGATAGGTTCTAAAATGTTCCAGGATTTAAATGTCTGACTGCTTCCAAAAAACATTCCAGTATCTAGGGAAAGACAAAAACTGAATTAAGGAGTTAAAATGAAATTTTTAAAAAATATGACAGACCAATAGATCATATATTTTGTGTATGTGTACACACACACACACACACACACACACACACGCACACACGCACACATGGCGCAATTCCTAGAGAAAGAAAATGTACAAAGGAACTTCATAACTTGTTTGCAAAGCTTAATGCATATCATGTACAAAAAACTCAATGACTAGTTTCCACTTTCACTAAAGAAATATAAATCTAGTAGATTATGCAGAGTAAACCAATGCAAATGTATTGTAATATACATTAGTGTACCAGAAAGGAATGTGTTCGTTGCAAATTTGACTAGCTGTGGTATGAACATATATGAATTTACATGCATCAGGTATCAAGATGTCTACACATATGGATCATTGCTGAGATTGTTTCAGTAGCTCAGTTTCAGGGGCCAAACCTCAACCAGATTCCCTTGGCCTTCCTCCCATAATTATATAATGCTGCTATAGTTTCTACCATCACATATCCTTTTAAGTAAGAAGGGGACAAGAGTGTATCAGCTATATATGACTCATTTTATCAGCTTCTCTGAAACATCCCCTACTGACTTTGGTTTTATTCTCATTTGCCAGTGGTTGGTCAAATATCCTTACCACTAGTTGTAAGGGAATTGAGGAAAGCAAGGAATTACTTTGTCATGATTGGCTGAAACCATAGGTTCAATACATTCTGGCCTTGGGGCCAATTCAGGCCATTCCTGTTGTAAATAGTTTTTTTTTTTGTTGTTGTTGTTGTGTGTTTTTTTTATAAGTTTCAATGGAGCATAGATATTATCTTTTATTTATACACTAGAGACTCAATGCACAAAATTCATGTGAAAGTAACCTTCTTTCCCCCGACTGCTGGCACAGGCTTCCCTTTGACACCCAGGACCTGGGCTTCCCTCTCAGCCCTGGATTTGTCCAGAAGGTCATCTGGAAGGATGCCCATTCTAATTAGCATATTATGCTTTTATTATTGTAGACTAGAGGCTCAGAGCATGAAATCTGTACACAGGGATAGGGGTCCCTCAGCCTGACCTGCACCTTTTCTAATCTGGGACCCCTCAGGAGATGTCCAACTCCTGTGGGATCAGGCCTAAACAAGCAGTCAGACATCCTTCTTGCAATCCAGGACTGCTGGCTCCTAACTGCTCACCTGCCTGCCAGCCTGACACCCCTAAATGCTCTCCCCTGCTAGCCTGATCGCCCCTAACCACCTCTGCCTCAGACCCCCCCCCCCCCCCCCACCACCACCACCATGGCTTTGTCTGAAAGGATGCCAGGAAAATGTCTGGTCTAATTAGCATATTACCCTTTTATTAATATAGATTGCCTGTGACTGTTTTCATGGTACAGTGGCAAAGTTGAGTAATCATATAATCAGGCCTGAAAATATTTACTATTTGGCCTATTACCAAAAATATTTCCTGTCCTCCAGTTTAGATCAATCATGATCCATCACCTGAGGTTGACTACAGGGACACTTCAGGGATAACTGGACTTTCATTAAGCAAGGAAGGAGGAGGAAAGAAGATATTGCAAAAGAACCAACAGTTATGTCAGGTCACCTGGCCCTACTCATTATATACAAGATAAAAAAAAATACATTTTCTGTTTTAAGTCACAGGGTAATATTGAATATACAACTTTTTTTGCTTCTTCATTTCCCAATGAGCCAATTAAGAAAATTAAGAAAGGTAGAATTTTTCAAATATATATAGAATTAACTGATATATAATGAATTCAGAAAGATGATCCTTAATTACTGACTTTTATATAGAACTGCCTAAGATATTGTCAGACTAAGTTTTAGACACATATTTTACTGATGTAAACTTCCATTTAAACTATTTATTTTAGGTCCTTGCATACACTGAGGGACTTCATGGAAAATGGATGTTCAGTGAGATACGAGCTGTATTCTCAAGACGTTATCTTCTACAAAACACTGCTTTGGAAGTATTTATGGCAAACCGAAGTAAGTATCCTTAAATATTTTGAAAGAAGACATGCTCATATTTTATTTATTTATTTATTTATTTATTTATTTATTTATTTATTTAATAAGTTTTTATTGTTCATATTATTACAAATGATCCTGTTTTTCCCCCCCGACCCTTGCTCTCCTCCACCAGGTTCACACCCCACCCTCTGCCCTTTACCCACTCCCCATTGTCCTCATCCATAGGTGCATAGTTTATGTTCAGTCTCTTCCCACATCCCCCTCTCCCCTTTTCCCTAAGAATCGTCAGTTCACTCCCCTTCCATACCTCTGATTCTATTATATTCAACAGTTAATATTGTTCATCAGATGTTTTTTTTTTAATTTCCTTGGTTTTTAGATTGACTTGTTGATAGTTACGTATTTGTTGTTCATAATTTTTATCTTTATTTACTTTCTCTTCTGAAAGAACCCCCTTCAGCAATTCACATAATTCTGGTTTGGTGTTGTTGAACTCCTTTAGCTTTTTTTTTATTAGTGAAGCTCTTTATCTGACCTTTGATTCCGAGTGATTGCTTTGCTGGATAGATTATCTTTGGCTGTAGGTTCTTACTATTCATCACCTTGAATATTTCTTGCCATTCCCGTCTGGCCTGCATGGTTTCTGTTGAGAAGTCAGCTGACAATCGTATAGGTGCTCCTTTATAGGTAACTACCTTCTTTGCTCTTGCTGCTTTTCATATTCTCTCTTTGTCTTTTGCTCTTGGAATTTTATCGATAATTATGATTTGTCTTGGTGTGGTTCTCTTTGGATTCCTTTTGTTTGGAGTTCTGTGTGCTTCCTGGACTTGTAAGTCTAATTCTTTCACCAGGCGGGGGAAGTTTTCTGTCACTATTTCTTTAAGTATGTTTTCAATATCTTGCTCTCTCTCATCTTCTGGGACCCCCATAATTCTGATGTTGGTTCGCTTGAAGTTGTCCCAGAGGTTTCTTACATTATCTTCAATTTTCTGGATTCTCTTGCCTTCTATCTTCTGTGGAGGAGTGTCTTCTGGCTCTTTATGTTTTAAATCTTTGACCTGATTCTTGCGATCTTCCCTTCTGTTTTTAGGACTCTGTATAATATTTTTTATTTCAGACAATGTATTTTTTATTTCTTGTTGATCCCTTATCATTTCTTGTTGACTCCTTATTAATTCTAGTTGATCTCTTTTCATATCTTCATAGGTCTTATCCATCTTTTCTAGGAAATTCTTGAAAAACCTTATAAGCGTAGATTTGAACTCTATATCCAACCGCTTTTTGTCCTCCATTTCTTTCGTTTGTGATCTATTTCGTTGTCGCATTTCGCAGTTACAGATGGGACGGGATTTCAGGGTGGAGCCTGCAGCCTTGGCTTCCATCAGCCCCGCCCTATGCGGGTCCTTCAGTACTCGCTGCAAAGGGCCTCTGAGAGAAAGGTGCCCTCGATTTTCGCCTGCTGCCAAACAGTATGCTCTCCCCCACTGAGCCCAGTATTGGGGTTCAGTTCAGTTGGAAGTGGAGTTGGAGGTGGTGTTCAGAGCAGTCTGGACCCCCTGTCTCCTTCCCGCCAGGCAATCCCAAGGCACAGCCGGCCGTCCCTTCTCTGTGTGTAAAGTGCGCGCTGCCAGGACTGCCTTTCGCTGCTCCCCCGGGGTTCCGCCTTGCAGCCCAGCTCCCTCTGGATGAACCTGGGTCCCCGGGGTCTGGCCTAGGACTGGGGTTCAGAGCAATCAGAATGGGGCCCAGCACAGTTGGAGTTTTATCTCCTTCCCGCTTGGGAATGCCAGCCAGGCACTCAGCCGCCCTCCTCTCCGGCTCCGTCCTCTCCGCGCGCCGCGTGTCTCCGTACCTTAGGCTTTTACAGCTCCTCCGCGCTTCCTTCTGGTTTTCTCCTTGCTTCTCGTTGTAGAATTTCCAGTCAGTCGACTTTCCTGTAGTTCTGGGTAATGTCCATTTTATATTTTAGTTGTATTTTATTGAAATTGTTGTGTGCGGCTGTGGCTAGGTGTTTACCTGGGCGCAGCCATCTTGGATCTCTCGACATGCTCATATTTTAATGCTATTCATTTGCATGGTGTCTCTGCTTCCCCCCCTGCTGTATTTCTCTCTGTTATGACATCACTAAAATAACAATATTAAGAAATTAATATGTTTGAAATATTAATCCTAGGTTTATCACAGATAAAGTTATACAGAGAAGTGATTTCCAAGAAGATACATACCTTTATAAATAAATGGTGATAAGCACTTGAAAATGTTTTCTGAAGTTGATGGTTTGCTCTCTTGTACTTTTCTAATAATGAATTTACTTCTTTCCACAGCCTCAGTTATGTTTAATTTTCCTGATCAAGCAACAGTAAAAAAAGTTGTCTATAGCTTGCCTCGGGTTGGAGTAGGAACCAGCTATGGTTTGCCACAAGCCAGGTAATTATGTCATGTTATACATTTTCTATGGGTTTTATAAAACATACTTCATTTTAATAAGACAGATATATATATATATATATATATATATATATATATATATAAAAAATTATTATAATTAGTTGAGAACCAGTGAATTTTCTTTCTTTGCAGGTTATTTGTAGGGAAAGAGGTTATGAAAACAACTATTTTAAGAATGACAGAATAGTTAAGACATAATTTTATATAACATAAATGAGGAAGTAAAAAATTGATTGAATATCATAGCTAGTATATAATTAAAATGTTATTTGATTGGTGATCTTACAAGAGACATACCAAAAGCCTCATGATGTTTGTAATTGTAATGTAATAATATATAATTTGTTCTTATAAATGTTTCTTCATTAAAGTAATAAAACTCCTAGCATTTATTGAGATTTATAGTCACTAATTATGGTTTAGTTTTACCATTCCCTAAATTTTTCATCTAGGTATGTATGCATGTATGTATTTAGCAGTACATGATTATATTTAATACACAACTTTGGTACAACCCAAAAGTAAAACACCACAGTAAAATAATAACAAAAAACAGGACATTTTATTTGCAATGCAAAAGAAATGGTTAACAGTAACGGAGACACTGTAACCCAAGGAAACTCAAAGTATGGTTAATGCAAAGGAAATATGTGGCCAGTATAAGCACCCTAAAACACTACTTACCTTTCAATTTATCAACACAACCCAAAAAGGAAGTGCACAAAGTCCATTAACAGTAGATAATAGCATAAAGAATACAGTCAACAATACTGTGATCACTATATGGGGCCTGGTGGGTAACTGAGATATTGAGAGAAAACTTTTTAAGTACTATACTGTGCACCTGAAACTAATACAAAACAATATTGAATGTAAACTGTAATTGAAAAATAAAATCAGACAGTATAACACTGGAGGGTACAATTAAAATAGCATCTTGGTATTTTTAAAGCACCATTTTGAAATTTTATTTTGTTGAAGAATAGAGGCCTGGGTAGGGTCCCTAGGCCTGGCTGGTGATCAGGGCCAATGTGTGGGGTGACCAGCCTGGGGCCTGTGGCTGGGGGCAGCTCCTGAGTTGAGCATCTGCCCCTTGGTGGACAGTGTGCCATTCAGTCAATTTGCATATTTAGCTTTTATGACATAGGGTGAGTAGGAAATAATCTAAGTAGGAAACAGTAAATCTTGTGTATCACTAATATCAGTTACTTTTGGGTTCCAAGTAACTGAATGCATGACTAAGTGTGGCTTAACAGATAGAGTTCTTTGCTTATTAGTTTCTGTCTTTAATGTAAAAGATCTGGAGTTGCTAGTATTGGCTTAGAGGTTCAGAGATGTTGGTATTCTTAGTTGGCCTTATGTTCGCAAAATAAGTACTGCTACTCCATACACCATATCTTCAGACAACTGCAGTAAAGCAAGAGAAAGACACAATGGATTCTTCTTAGAGCATCATGTTTTAAGACAGAATATATTTCTCAGAAGCCTCCTGCAATCTTTATTTTAAGTCCCTTTTGGCCAAAATGGTTTGCCTTCCCATTCCTAAAACAATCACTATCAACGGGAAGTGTATTTACTGGCTGAGCCTCCTAGAATTCAGGGAAAAATACGAACTCCTTGTTATCTCCAACTTGAAAAAAAAAAATAGGGTGTCTTTTGGCAATGAAGAAAGAGGTATCAACATTGGGTAGATAAATTAAGTCCCTGGGAATTAGTATAAGCACTGCATGGATGGAAAGGAAAACAAATCTTCATGTCTCACCTCAGGTAGGCTACAGTCACTTAAAAGACAGGGATGTGTCTTACTTATCTTTTACTCTACAGGATCTAGCATAGTACCTAATTGTAGCATAGTACCTATTTTTAAGTGCTATTCAATTTGAATTACCTCGTATTGTAGTGTATCTATCCTCCTTAAGCTTACAGTATAAAAGCAATTTACTGACATGTGTGTGCATGCTCAGATATTTGCCAGCAGACTGACAAGATTAAATTAAGAAACTAGTAGATAATTAAATAGTTATATAAAATACAAACAAAAAAAGTGCATTTACTCTATCAAGGAAATGTAGTTAATTTTGCAAGACTTGGTCTTATTGAATCTAAATTGACTGACAGTAATCACTACTTCCTTTCCCTGGTGCTTACTGACTATTTAATCACCAATTCAATAATTTTTTTTTTCCAGGAATTGACATTAAGAACTCACAAGGAGTTCTATATCCTTTTAAAAATAATCCGCCTCTTGGCATCTTTCCCAATGACCATGATTCTTCAAAGATTAACAATATGGGTTTCTCAATGACATATGTGTTATTTCCTTCAATAGTCTTCAACTTGTCTGTACCTGAATTAATTTGAAATAACCAGAGCTCTTCTACTATCTTTGTTACCTATTATGAGTATTATTTCCTTTTTAACCACATTCAGTCTTTTGGAAAATCATTATTCTTGATAGAAAAACTGGAAAAAAAAATAGACATTCAGTAGTTTTGGTTCTGCTGTTATACAACCATTCTGTCTTAAAATTCTGTTTTCATATGGCAGAAGGGAGCTCTCTGTCCTTAATTCTTAAAACAACCACATTTATAAACAAGGCTATTTGAGAGGAGAGAAGATGGTGGCCAAATAGGCAGACCTTTCTTGCACCTCCTTCTAGGGCCAGACTAGAGATAAAACTAAACTGGGGAACATACACCTGGAATTATTATATCAAGGAAGGCCAGAAAATACCTGGAGACCAGTAGGAAGGGCAGAGTCCTGAGAGGGCCTGCCATGGGCAGCAGGCTGGTCAGCCAGGAGTGAGGAGAGATCCCTATGGGGAGGGGCTTTCCCTTAGGAGATGGAGGCCAGAACACCAGAACTGAGGTCAGCAGCTCATGTAACATCCAGATGTGAAAGGCAGCAGGGCTGCTGGCCTCCGTGGAGTCTGGAGCCAGTTGAGGAGAAGCTTCAGTTCTGTTTTGGTTGTGTGTTTTTTGTTTGTTTTTTAAACCCAGAGCACGGGAGTTTTCACTTGCAGCTACTCACCCAAGGCTTTGGTGCAGGTAGGGTCATGCATACTTGAGATGCCTAAGGAAAGGCTGGGGTAGAAAGCATTGCAGGGAGGGGGGAGGAGAGAAGAGGTGGAAAAGCAGCAGTCAGGAGACCTGCATTGGGTAGGTCATACACCACCAAACCGAAACAACCATTTTTCCTGAGAGGATCTAGCCACTCCCAGAAGCCCCAGCTCAGGAAAAGGAAGAAACTCTGTCCTAGATGATACAGCCAACTACTTTCAGGAGCCCTGCTGACCACACTCTGCATCTTGACCTTTGCAAAATGAAAATAGCTGCAGAGGCCAAGCCTATAGGTTTGAACAGCCCCAGGGAGGCTCTGTCCTAGGAACTATCTTGGGAAGCTGAGTGGTGCCTCTACCACACAGGAGAGCTGATAGAAATTCCAGGATTTCAGCTGATCCTACTGGACTGCATACAGGATCTCTGCCCAGCCGAGGGCAGAGTGATATTCTGGACCACTCAGAGAGTATCGCTGGGATAGGGACACATACCCAACACTTACTTTGCCTGAAATCCGAACATCACCTCCCCCTCATGGGAGAAGCAGGGGTCTAGACTCCTGATTCTACTTAAAGCCCTGTGAGTGATTAAGATTAACAGCTGCCTGGCAAGCAAAGGTTCTTGGAGGCAGAGACAGGGAACCTTGGGAAGCTTACTGACTCAGCCCTGTGCCCCAAGCTGCAACAAAACTGCTTTAGAAGGAAGCTTGGCCCCTCCTGCACACAGTCAAGTCCTGTGAAGACAGACACAAACTGTAGATACACTGGGACTTCAAACAAGTTACTGAAAGCCAAAGAAGGGGGCGCGTGGGTAGGGGGCGGGTAGCGACAACGGCAGTGGCGCTTGGTGGTGTTCACTCATGCGTCCAGCACAACGACCGGTGGGCGCTGCTGGCGGTGTTCTCCATGGCCGGTGTGTTGGCCGCTGCCCGGGGCGGATTCCACCCGCTGCCAGAGCAGATTCCACTGGAAGCCTAACTCTTCTGGAGGCTTTAGAGCTGGGAGCAGAAGAGGACCAGCGGCTGCAGACAGAGCATGCAGAAGGGCTAAGGCAAGAGCCCCAAGATCTCTTTCTTTTCTTGTTTGAGCTTGTTGCCATAACCCTCTAGAGATAAAATGCAATGCACATAGGCTTTGCAGAGGCAGCTGCTTTAAGGTGAACTGGCACAGAAGTTGAGCACAACATGCCATTAGTGAAAAGAAATATGGATCCTAGACACTTGTGCCACACAGCACTGATTAGAGGCATTAAGAATGAACTAGAGTGTATAACCAATATTTCCTTGGCAAATATAATTAGACAATTAAGTAGCCTAAGTAAATATGCTGAAGATATATTTGGAGAATTATTCAATGAAGCACATAGTTTTTCCTTCAGGGGTAACTTATTATAAGAACCTGGACTGTTTATCTGTTAGTGTTACACAGCTTGACCCTAAAGAAGAATTGTCTTTGCAAGATAGAACAATGATAAAGGCTTTCCGAAGTTCTACAATTCAACATCAGCAGCTTTTCGACCGCAAGACTTTGCCTAATCCGTTACAAGAGACATATGATATTTGTGAGCAGCCTTCACATCTTAATATACTCACTCCTTATAGATGGTAAAGAAGGTTTGAACTTTTATACCAATCCTTCATATTTCTTTGATTTATGGAAAGAAAAAATGTTGCAAGATACAGAGGATAAGAGTAAGGAAAAAAGGAAGCAAAAGCAGAAAAATCTAGATTGTCTTCATGAACCAGAAAAAGTGCCAAGAGCATCTCATGACAGACAGACAGAATGGCAGAGGTTGGCCCAAGGTCCAGAGTTGGCCAAAGATGATGCTAATCTTTTGCATAAGCATATTAAAGTTGCTAATGGCCCAGCCTCTCATTTTGAAACAAGACCTCAGACATACATGGATCATATGGATGGCTCT